TTCAAGTTAAATAAGCCAGTAACAAAATGATGGATATTATGATTTCACTTATATGAGATATAAAATAGTCACATTGATAAAAACAGAATGTGAAATGGTGTTTGTCAAGGGCTCAAGACAGCATAAAATGAGTAAATGTTATATAACGCATATTGAGTTTTAGTTTACAAGAGGTAAAATTTCAAGAAGTGTTTTGCATAATGAGGTGAATGCAGTTGACAGGCCTGAAATATACAGTTTTGTTGTTTTTGTTTTTCTTTCTTTTTTTTTTTGAGTCGGAGTTTCGCTCTTGTTACCCAGGCTGGAGTGCAATGGCGCCATCTCGGCTCACCGCAACCTCTGCCTCCTGGGTTCAGGCAATTCTCTTGCCACAGCCTCCTGAGTAGCTGGGATTACAAGCACGAGCCACCATGCCCAGGAAATCTTTTGTATTTTTGGTAGAGACGGGGTTTCACCATGTTGACCAGGATGGTCTCGATCTCTTGACCTCGTGATCCACCTGCCTCGGCCTCGCAAAGTGCTGGGATTACAGGCGTGAGCCACCGCGCCCAGCCGTTTTTCTGGTTTTTTGAGACAGGGTCTCAATCTGTCACCCAAGTTTGAGGGCAATGGCGCAATTATGGCTCACTTCAGCCTCACACTTCCAGGCTCAAATAATCCTGCCCCCTCAATCTCTCAAGTAGCTGGGACCACAGGTGCACACCACCATGCCTGGCCATTTCTTATAAAAAAAAGTTTGTGGAGAGGATGTCTCCATATTTTGCCCAGGCTGTCTTGAAACTTTTGGACTCAAGCAATTCTCCTGTCCTGGCCTCTCAAAATCCTGGTTTTACAGATGTGACCCACCACCATGTCTTCTCCTGACATGTACATTTAAATAGATTTAAGAAAGAAATTACATATCTTTACGATTTTTTTTAAACATGAAAAAATACAGAATTATTAATGTTTTTTAAAATTACCTTTAAATGGCCGGATGTGGTGGCTCATGCCTGTAATCCCAACACTTTGGGGAAGTCGAGGTGGGCGGATCATGAGGTCAGGAGTTCAAGACCATCCTGGCTAACACGGTGAAACCCCCGTCTCTACTAAAAATGCAAAAATTAGCTAGGGGTGGTGGCATGTGCCTATAGTTCCAGCTACTCGGGAGGCTGAGGCAGAAGAATTGCTTGAACCCGGGAGGCGGAGGTTTCGGTGAGCCAAGATCACGCCATTGCACTCCAGCCTGGCTAACAAGTGAAACTCCATCTCAAAACAAAACAAAACAAAACAAAAGAAAATGACCTAAAAAATAATACATACAAGATAAGGGATAACCAAAATTGGGGTCATATCTGTGGATATAAACAGATACATCTATATAATCTGATAGTGATATACATATGGCTAATTTATCTTTTAGTTAAACCCCACATTAACTTAAAGTATACAAACAATTGTAAATTATCTAAAATTATAACACATAAGTAAAACCAATAGACACAATAAACTGATGTTAAGAAATTACACTAAAAAAACACACTAATAAAGAACTGCAAGACAATAATAACAGAAATGTTTACTCATAAAAATTTATTTTGCAATGTTAATGTATATTAACAAATAAGCCCGGCACGGTGGCTCACGCCTGTAATCCCAACACTATGGGAGGCCAAGGTGGGCAGATCACCTGAGGTTCAGAGTTTGACACCAGCCTGACCAACATGGAGAAACCCTGTCTCTACTAAAATTACAAAATTAGCTGGGTGTGGTGACACATGCCTGTAATCCTAGCTGCTTGGGAGGCTGAGGCAGGAGAATCGCTTGAACTTGCGAGGCAGAGGTTGTTGTGAGCCTAGATCTCGCCATTGCACTCCAGCCTGCACAACTCCATCTCAAAAAAATAAAAATATTTTGTCTAGGTAACTGCAATGTTTGTCACTGCATTTGTGGAAGGCAGGAATTTTTAATTACTGGCATCTATTGTATAGCAATAAAATTTCAGGGAAAATGCACTACAATCAGAAATAGGAGATGCTAATGACACACTTTACTAGATAAGCGTCTAAAAGAAACGTGTCAATTTTTAAGTTTTAAATATATGCCATTTTTACACAAAATAAAACTACTGCAATCCAAGTTTAGAAGCAAAGAATAGCCTTACATTGCTAAATTATATATATATGTGTACACACACAAACACACACACACACATTTAGCAGAATATGGTAAGTCTCATATAAAAAACAAATATTTGGGGAATAAATTGTATTCTTTAGATATAGGCTAACAGAAGCAATTTAAAATTTTATAATTCCTTTTTGCCTGCCTGCATACTAATTATCTAATTTAATTCAGGCACAACATGTATATTTTAGTATATTGCCCTAAATGTCTGAATCTAAAATTATAGACAAATTTGAAGTAGAAAATAAAAAGTAAAAATCCATATGGACAGTGACATTCATAAGACAAGAAAGTAAACGGTGCCCTATTTGCTCATCTTCTGACACCAAGACAATCTGTCACTGATTCCTGACAAAAATCCCTTTATGAGAGAACCAGGCATCATGGTTCACACCTGTAATAATAGCTACATGGTATATTAAAGTTGGAGAATTGCTTCTGGTCAAAACACTAAGACCTGCCCAGGTTATGTAGCAAGACCCCATCTCAAAAATAAATGCCTCTTTTTTTGACAGACTCTAGCTTTGTTGCCCAGGCTAGAGTGCAGTGGCACAATCTCGGCTCACTACAACCTCCACCTCCCAGGTTCAAGCAATTCTCCTGCCTCAGCCTCCCGAGTAGCTGAGATTACAGGCAGGCACCACCATGTCCATCTATTTTGTATATTTTTAAATTAATTTATTAACTTTAAGTGCATACTATATCTGGCATTTCTCCCCATGTTATCCCTCCCCACCCTCCCCTCACTCCCCACCCCCCGCTGTCTCTCCCTACCCCCTTCAACTGCCCCCAGTGTGTGATGCTCCTTTCCCTGAGTCCACATATTCTTGTTGTTCAACATCCACCTATGGGTGAGAATTATGGTGTTTGGCTTTCTGTTCTTGTGTTAGTTTGCTGAGAATGATGGTTTCCAGATTCATCCAAGTCCCTACAAAGGACACAAACTTGTTTTTTATGGTTGCGTAGTATTCCATGGTGTATATGTACCACATTTTCTTTGTCCAGTCTATCATTGATGGGCATTTGGGTTGATTCTATGGAAGTCTAGTATTTCTTTTTTTTTTTTTTGAGACAGAGTTTCCAGTCAACACTCAGAAACAGGTTGTTCAGTTTCCAAGTGGTTGTGTGGGTTTGTGTGTGTTTCTTGATCCTGAGTCCTAGTCTGACTGTGCTGTGGTCTGATAGACTGTTTGTTATGATTTCTGTTCTTTTGGATTTGCTGAGGAGTGATTTGCTTCCAATGATGTGGTCAATTTTAGAGTATGTGCAATGTGGTGCTGAGAAAAATGTATATCCTGTGGATTTGGGGTGGAGCGTTCTATATATGTGTATTAGGTCCACTTGGTCCAGCTCTGCATCCAAGTTCTGGATATCCTTGTTAATTTTCTGTATCACTGATCTAATATCAACAGTGGAGTGTTGAAGTCTCCCACTATTATTGTGTGGGAGTCTAAATCTCGTTTTAGGTGATTAATAACTTGCTTTATGTATCCGTTGCTCCTGTGTTGGGGGCGTATGTGTTTAGGATACTTAGCTCTTCCTGTTGGATTGATACTTTTACCATTACATAGTGTCCTTCTCTGTCTCTTTTGATCTTTGTTGGTTTGAAGTTCATTTTATCAGAGACTAGGATTGCAACCCCTGCTTTTTTTTGTTCTCCATTTCCTTGGTAAATCTTCTTCCATTCCTTTTATTTTGAGTCTATGTGTGTCTTTGTATGTGAGATGGGTTTCCTGAATACAGCACACCAATGGGTTCTGACTTTTTATCCAGTTTGCCAGTCTGTCTTTTGATTGGGGTGTTTAGGCCATTTACATTCAATGTTAATATTGTTATGTGTGGATTTGATTCTGCCATTTTGTTACTGACTGGTTTTCTTTCCCATTAGTTGCCTCATTTTCTTCATTGCATTTTTGGTCTTTGCCAATTGGTTTGCTTTTGCAGTGACTGGTACTTGTTCCTTTCCACGCTTAGTGTTTCTTTCAGGAGCTCTTGTAGGGCAGGTCTGGTGGTGACAAAATCTCTCAATAATTGCTTGTCCATAAAGGATTTTATTTCTCCTTCACTTTCAAAGCTTAGTTTGGCTGGATATGAGATTCTGGTTTGAAAGTTCTTTTCTTTAAGGATGTTGAATATTGGCCCCCACTCTCTTCTGGCTTGTAGGGTTTCTGCAGAGAGATCTGCTGTGAGTCTGATGGGCTTCCCTCTGTGGGTGACCTGGCCTTTCTCTCTGGCTGCCCTTAGCATTTTTTCCTTCATTTCAACCCTGGTGAATCTGACGATTATGTGCCTTGGGGTTGCTCTTCTTGAGGAATATCTTTGGGAAGTTCTCTGTATTTCTTGAATTTGAAATTTGGACTGCCTTGCTAGGCTTGGGAAGTTCTCCTGGATAATATCCTGGAGCATGTTTTCCAGCTTGGATTCATTCTCCCCATCATATTCAGGTACACTGATCAAGCGTAGATTAGGTCTTTTCACATAATCCCATATTTTTTGGAGGCTTTGTTCATTTCTTTTCACTCTTTATTCTCTTGTCTTGCTGTCTCTTTTTATTTCATTGAGTTGATCTTCAATCTCTGATCTTTTCTTCTCCTTGATCGATCTGGCTATTTAAACTTGTGTTTGCTGCATGTAGTTCTTGGACTGTGTTTTTTTTTTTTTTAATTTTTTATTGGATTTTAGGTTTTGGGGTACATGAGCAGAGCATGCAAGACAGTTGCGTAGGTACACACATGGCAGTGTCCTTTGCTTTCCTTCTCCCCTTCACCCACATTTGGCATTTCTCCCCAGGCTATCCCTCCCCACCTCCCCCTCCCCCTGGCCCTCCCCTTTTCCCCCCAATAGACCCCAGTGTTTAGTACTCCCCTTTCTGTGTCCATGTGTTCTCATTTTTCATCACCCGCCTATGAGTGAGAATATGCGGTGTTTCATTTTCTGTTCTTGTGTCAGTTTGCTGAGGATGATGTTCTCCAGCTTCATCCATGTCCCTCTCCGCGGATTCAAGGAGAGCTCCAATCCTGGGTTGTTCTCACAGCGCCATCTTCTGGACTGTGTTTTTCAACTCCATCAAGTCGTTTACGTTCTTCTCGATTCTGGTTATTCCAATTAGCATTTTGTCTAACTTTTTTCCAAGGTTTTTGGTTACTTTGCATTGAGTTAGAACATGTTCCTTTAGCTCCAAAATGTTTGATATTAGCCACCTTCTGAAGCCTGCATCTGTCAATTCGTTGCACTCCTTGGTCACGTTGTGATCCTGTGTTGAGAAGTTGTGTTGCCTTGAAGGAGAAGAGGTGTTCTGGTCTTTGATGGTTTCATTTTTTTTGTGCTCGTTTTTTCCCATCTTTGTGGATTTACCTGGCTGTGGTGTCAGGGAGCTGCTTGATGAGGTTGCTTGTCTGCCTGTGGAGCAAAAATAACTGCCTTTAAGAGAGCCCTGAGATCCAGGAAGGAGTTGTAAAACTCTTCTAAAGACCAAGATTGAAAGTAATCCTCTTTAGAAGGCAGGCCCTCACTTAGGTGGTAAACTATAGGACTACTGTTTTTGGCTACACACAAGAAAATGTTCCACCTAACTTGATTCCACTGAAAATTTTAAACTTACTCAGTAACCATTCCAAACTCTTTCCAGCCAGTCTCAGGGAGGTCCTGCCCTCAAAGAGGCCAAGAGAAAGACTCTTATTTATAGTCATGCAGCAGGCCTGCAGACCTTGGCCTTTACTGTGGTCCCTGATAAAGTTCCATGATTCAGTTCCAGCTCCCTGAGCTACAGTTCATGGCCAGTTCTGCCTATGTAGAAACCCAAAGTGACCTGAGAAAATCCTCTCTTGTACTTGGTAAAACCCATGCTCATCCACATCCTGATATAAAGCCCACCACCTGCAACCCTGACTGCGGAAACCTGCTCTTAGGTCTGCCCTGTACAGCAAAATACTAAAGGATATTCACTCTATCTAAAAATTAAATAAGAATTACAACTATCCAAGCCCCTTTTAACAAGATAACTAAAAGTGGACACTTGTGCAAACTCAGAAGCCTTAAGACCAAGCTACAACCCCGCTTCACTACAAACTCAGAGAGCATTCTATCACTCTGGGGTCCCAATAAAAATAGATTTTTACTTTCTGAAACTAGTTTATAAAAATCTAGGGGGGCCGCAGTGGCTCTGGCCAGATGTCCTGGTGCTTGAGGAGGTGAGGCCGTAAGTTCAAGGCCAACCTGAGCAACGTTACAAGCTCTCATTGATTAACAAAAAAATAAAAATAAAAATAAATCTAAAGAGGTATTTATTCCTTCAAATTTACAGATACCAATGCAAAACTACTGTTTCTTATTGTCAATGATTCTATTTTAACATAGCACTGAAATTGTGTGAAAAAATAATCAAAAAAAAATTTTAACTCATTACATTGAAGACCAATAAAGTAAAATGTTTGTTTGTAGATAATGTAATCTTATATATATAAACAGTATATTAAAACCTGTTGAAATTAATGAATACACTCAGTTATTTAGCAAAATATAAAATTATACAATTATAAGATATCTTCCACACACTTAAACTATCTGATAAAATAGGAAAAAAATCTTATTTACAATAGTAATAATCAATTTTAGATTAAATTAAACCAAGGAGCTCATAAATTTTTTAAGTGAAAGATATATCAATGAAGAAAATTAGAGAGGACACAAATAAATTTTAAAATATTTTATTTCTATCAAAATAGTAAGTATTGTGACACTCCCATATTAACTAAACTGATCTGTGGATTCAATAAACTCCCTATCAAAGTTCCAGTGTTTTTTTCCACAGTAATGAAAAATACAATCCTAAAATGTACATGAAACTACAATAAGCTTTGAGTAGCCAAAGCAATCTTGAAGAAAAAGAACAATGCAGAAGGACATCATACTTTATAATTTCAAACCATATTTCTTTTTTTTTTTTTTGAGACGGAGTTTCACTCTTGTTACCCAGGCTGGAGTGCAATGGCGCGATCTCGGCTCACTGCAACCTCCGCCTCCTGGGTTCAGGCAATTCTCCTGCCTTGGCCTCCTGAGTAGCTGGGATTACTGGCACACGCCACCATGCCTAGCTAATTTTTTGTATTTTTAGTAGAGATGGGGTTTCACCATGTTGACCAGATGGTCTCGATCTCTTGACCTTGTGATCCAACTGCCTCGGCCTCCCAAAGTGCTGGGATTACAGGCTTGAGCCACTGCACCCGGCCTCTTTTTTTAAGATGGGGTTTCACCATGTTGGCCAGGCTGGTCTCGAACTCCTGACCTCAAGTGATCCGCCCACCTCAACCTCCCAAAGTGCTAGGATTATAGGCATGAGCCACCACACCCGGCTCAAACTATATTTCAAGACTGTAGTAATAACAGAATGAAATGTGAAGAAAAATAAACAAGACAATGGAACAGAAACCACTATTCTCATGCATTTCAGATGTGACACAAAAAGAGAATTTAAAATATAGTTTAGGCCAGATGCAGTGGCTCACACCTGTAATCCCAGCAGTTTGGGATGCCGAGGTAGGTGAATCACCTGGGGTCAGGAGTCTGACACCAGCCTGACCAACATGGAGAAACCCGTCTCTAAAAATACAAAAAATTAGCCAGGCATGGTGGTGTGTGCCTGTAACCCCAGCTACTCAGGAGGCTGAGTCAAGAGAATCACTTGAACCTGGGAGGCGGAGGTTACTGTGACCCAAGATCGTGCCACTGCACTCCAGCTTGGGCAACAAGAGTGAAAAGTCCGTCTCAAAAAAAATAATAATAAATTTAACATAGAGTATCTCAAAATTATATAGATATCTATCTGTCCACAAAAAAAACAAAAAACCAGAAAAGACACCAGATCGTGCACTCTTTTATATGCCATGAAAAGTACTTTGGCTGTCACTGTAACCTGAAGGAAGGTCATTGAAGGGAAAGTAGAATTCTTAGAGATTTTATAAGCATAAGCAGAAGATATCCCTATGTGTGAGCATAATTTTTAAAAAAATTTTCGGCTTCCCAGAAACTATTTACTCTGGAACACAGCTTCCCAAATCACTTTAAAGACTGGCTTTCTCCTTGACCTTGGACCTCTCATCCATGTCGTCTGTTGTGTTCACTCTCACCCACCTGGGGGTTCATCCACCATCTCATGTTGCTTCATCTTCCAGGGCTCTTTTGCTTTCTCTAGACAGGTGATCAGGTCTGGCTTAGAGGCAGCAATACCTGTCTTATTACAAATAACTAACATGAATCTTGCTCATATTCTCCAATTACCAACTTAGTAATATGCTCAGTAAAGAGGATATAATAGAATAATAAATTTATCCCAATATACTAGCTTATAACAGAAATGTTTAAATTTTTACAAAGTATTTCTATATCATAGGTTCTTAAGTTCACTGCTAGTACTACTGAATCATAAACTGGTGATGGCAATTAGATTTTAAGGTATGAATAACAATATTTTATGCCACTACACTTCTGAAATTAACACTAAAGTAAAGTAAAGAATACAGATCAGCTCAGGCATGTGGAAAGTGCAGGTCAAGATAAAACATCTTGAAGAAATTATTTTCTAAACAGATAAATCTCCAGGATTTTCTTAAAAACAGAAATCTGAAAGCATAAATAACCAGAGAACATTCTACAAAAGAGAAATGAAATCTTTAAGTTTATATTAGGAATTTTGTATTAAAGTTTTCCTCACCCAGGAAGACCAGGCTTCTGTAGTTCTCTAACATCACATTTCTAAACAAATCCTGCTGAGCAGGGTTCAGGCATTGCCACTCCTCCAGAGAGAATTCTATGGCCACATCCCTAAATGTCAATGGTTCCTGGAAAACACAAACAAACACACTTATTTACCTAGTGTCTATGAGCAGAATTTTTCATTTGACTCAAGGTAAAATGAGAAAGTGAATAGAACTGGTTCTGACTTAGAAGAGTGAATGAAATTATCTAATAAAATAATTGTCAACACAGAAACATTTTGTAACATATTCACTAACTCTGAGAAAAGAGAGTGGCATGATATCCACAACATCAGTGTATATGTGATATTTGTCTGGATGATAAAGTATAAAACAGGGCATAAACACTAATATGTACATCTGAGTGCTATATTTACATAATACAGAATGGGTTGTGTATATTTTTCAAATGAAAAAGACATAGTTATTTATATTTTTCAGACAAAAAAACGGACATGTTAAGTTAGAAGGTACTACTCAAATCTTAATGTGTACAATAAACTGGACATCTCGTAAATGCAGATTATTTTTTCAGGAGATCTGAAATAAAGTCTGAGCTGCTGAATTTCTAACAAGCTCACCAGCAATGCCAATGTTTTGAACCCAAAAGAATATTTTGTCAAACATCCAGTAAGTGGAAGAGCCTGTTTTTTTTTTTTTTTAAATGAGAGTTTTAATTTACGAAGGAAAGATAAATATAAAGAAAACCTTAATATAGTAAAAAATGTGTAAGAGAGCTTATTAAGCAAGTGAGTTATTAACAGCAACTGCACTAGGACAAGTTGTTTTTTTTTTTTGAGACGGAGTTTTGCTCCTGTTACCCAGGCTGGAGTGCAATGGCGCGATCTCGGCTCACCGCAACCTCTGCCTCCTGGGTTCAGGCAATTCTCCTGTCTCAGCCTCCTGAGTAGCTGGGATTACAGGCACGCGCCACCATGCCCAGCTAATTTTTGTATTTTTAGTAGAGACGGGGTTTCACCATGTTGACCAGGATGGTCTCGATCTCTTGACCTCGTGATCCACCCGCCTCGGCCTCCCAAAGTGCTGGGATTACAGGGATGAGCCACCGCGCCCGGCAGAGGTCACAGCATCACCACTGAAGTATTGGCTTCACTAAAGTAAATTACAGTCTGAATGTAACCATAAGAAAACATCAGGCCGGGCGCGGTGGCTCAAGCCTGTAATCCCAGCGCTTTGGGAGGCCGAGGCGGGTGGATCACGAGGTCAAGAGATCGAGACCATCTTGGTCAACATGGTGAAACCCCATCTCTACTAAGAATACAAAAAATTAGCTGGGCATGGTGGCACGTGCCTGTAATCCCAGCTACTCAGGAGGCCGAGACAGGAGAATTGCCTGAACCCAGGAGGCGGAGGTTGCGGTGAGCCGAGATTGCGCCATTGCACTCCAGCCTGGGTAACAAGAGCAAACTCCAGCCTGGGTAACAACAGCAAACTCCGTCTCAAAAAAAAAAAAAAAAAGAAAACACCAGTTTTATGGAAAGTTCAATATACAGTTATCTTCCAATGTTCTACAGTTTTGAGGAGGGATCTCGAATGGGTATGTTGACATTTCACAAGGCAGAAAATGTCTCCTGCTGGTTTTCTCTACATTCTCCATCTAATGTCCAGCCCTGTTTTGTAAATTCCAGGCAGAGGCCAGATCTTATTTGCAGATTCTAGATAAAATCGACATCACTCTGTATTTTTGGCTGTTAGAACAAGTAGGGTACAATCAAAGGAGAGATTTACTCATAAAGGCTATTCTAGAAAATTCTAAATATTTTACCTAAAAAAAAATCTGGGCCGGGCGTGGTGGCTCACGCCTGCAATCCAAGCACTTTGGAGGCCAAGGCGGGTGGATCATCAGGGTTGGGAGTTCAAGACCAGCCTGATCAACATGGCGAAACCCCGTATTAAAAAAAAAAAAAGAAGAAAGAAAGAAAAAGCTGACACAACATGAATATAAGTAGATAGTTTATTTGGGCCAAGCTTAAGTATTGCAATTTGAGAAGAAATATGCAAAATATCTAGAATCTACACTTTTGATTAGCAGCAGTTACAAGTGGATTTGTAAAGGCAAAAACAAGGAGAGAGACAGAAAGTGGGCTGATACAAACTCGTTTGTGAGAAATTCTTAAACAAATAACTTTAGTTATTGATTGACTGTACATTAAGGCTAAGGGCATAAAACTAAGTGTCCAGTGTGACATTATTTAACTTATACCTACTTGTGGCAATAGTGAACAGATTTGAGATGAATACATAGTTGAAAGAAGGGAGAAAGACATACTTGTGCTCTTAATGTATCTCTGAGTTTCGTAAGTAAAAAGACTTGCATTCCTCAAATAAAAGATTTTTCTTTTTTAATTTCAAGACTTAGATTTAGAATTTAGACATGCAGCTTTAGGTCCTGGATGGGTGGAGTAGCAGCAGATGTTACTGCAATTGTGAGCATTTTATCGAGAGGAGGGAAAGAGAAGTGGAGATTCTCATGTTTCCATGTCTACTCAATGCACACCTATTACTCTGATTGCGTTTATGGGCTACAAGGTCTCAGAATCAGTTTCAGGTCTGATGATACAAGAGTCACTAAGTAAAATGATTAATAGCTGCCCTATAGAGTTTGTAGAAATCTGATCTATCCCCTGTAGAAGAGACTGTAGAGGACTCTAGATGCCAATTAGGCAGAGACACAATTCTGCCTGCATATTTAGGTGACAGCATGCATTTTACAGCATAATTGTGAGTTGACTGGAAGCCTGAGAGGGAAAGTCTTCTCTAGAGTAATGCTTGATTGGCATCTTATGTGTTTATATTAAATCTGGTAATTCTACAGTGTTTGGGGAATATAATTTAAAAAATACTTTCAGCCCCAGAGAAACCACAGTAATAAAACAGAAAGAAAACTGTTTCATTACACAATTAAATGTGGATGTCATGTGTATAGTCAGTCTGCTTAAGAGAAAGAAAAGAAAGACGGTTACCATAATTAGTTCACAAGTAGAAGAAGTTACAGCACCATGTCATACATAGTTCATCCTAAATTCACCTGGTCCTTGGGGAGGCCATCCGTGTATGCTAATTGGTTATATCAATGACAAAATAAGCTTTTCACATCTTCAGGACAGAAGGTAGTTTTGCAGCTTGAAGCCAGGTACCTGCTTAAGGTATACTTTCACTCTTCTACAAAAGTGGTGGAATAGGGTGCTATCTTTTTGGCTACTTGTATTTTAATGCAGTGACTCTCTACTCCTTGAGGACTGGGCTAGAGCTCTCCTGCTTCCCCTCTTCTGGTGGCCGCTGTCCTCTTTTGTTTTCTAGCATCTGACACTGAAGTACAGCACACAGCATAGGGCTCACAGCTGGCAGCCCACATCTTAGGTAAACACCAATTGTCTCAGCAGCACTTTAGTGTCACATCAACGAGTGAAGCCTAGCCAGGTAGCTGGCTCACACCTGTAAACTCAGCACTTTGGGAGACTAAGGCAGGCAGGTCACAAGGTCAGGAGTTTGAGAACGGCTTGGCCAACATATTGAAACCCTGTCTCCACAAAAAATTTTTTATTGGCGGGCGCGGTGGCTCAAGCCTGTAATCCCAGCACTTTGGGAGGCCGAGGCGGGTGGATCATGAGGTCAAATGATGGAGACCATCCGGGTCAAAATGGTGAAACCCCGTCTCTACTAAAGATACAAAAAATGAGTTGGGCATGGTGGCACGTGCCTGTAATTCCAGCTACTCAGGAGGCTGAGGCAGGAGAATTGCCTGAACCCAGGAGGCGGAGGTTGCGGTGAGCCGAGATCGCGCCATTGCACTCCAGCCTGGGTGACAAGAGCGAAACTCCGTCTCAAAAAAAAAAAAAAAAAAAATTTTTTTTTTAAATTACCTAAGCACAATGGTGGGTACCTTTTCTCTCAGCTACTCTGGAGGCTAAGGCAGGAAAATTGCTTGAACCCGGCAGGTGGAGGTTGCAGTGAGCCAAGATCGCACCACTGCACTCCAGCCTGGGTGACAGGGTGAGAGTCTGTCTCAAAAAAAAAAAAGTGAAGCCTTAGCTGCAGCAGGAGAGCCTGCAGGCCTCGGGGTAGAATCGCACCTTCACAATAATGGAATGAAAGCATTATTTAAGACACAGTTTCAGCTGGGTGCGGTGGCTCACGCGGTCAAGAGATCAAGACCATCATGGTCAACATGGTGAAACCCCGTCTCTACTCAAAATACAAAAAATTAGCTGGGCATAGTGGCACGTGCCTGTAATCCCAGCTACTCTGGAGGCTGAGGCAGGAGAATTGCCTGAACCCAGGAGGTGGAGGTTGCGGTGAGCTGAGATCACGCCATTGCACTCCAGCTTGGGTAACAAGAGCGAAACTCCATCTCAAATAAAAAAAAGAAAAGAAAAAAATTATTAGCTGGGCGTGTTGGCAGGTGCCTATACTCCCAGCTACTCAGGAGGCTGAGGCAGGATAATCACTTGAACCCAGGAGGTTGAGGCTACAGTGAGCCAAGATTGCACCATTGCACTTCAGCCTGGGCAACAAGAGTGACACTCCATCTACTAAAAAAAAAAAAAAAAAAAAAAAAAATCTGGCCAGGCGCAGTGGCTGAGGCCTGTAATCGCAGCACTTTGGGAGGCCGAGGCGGGTGGTTCACGAGGTCAAGAGTCGAGACCATCCTGGTCAACAAGGTGAAACCCCGACTCTACTAAAAATACAAAAAATTAGCTGAGCATGATGCCGCGTGCCTGTAATCCCTGGGGCTGAGGCAGGAGAATTGCCTGAACCCAGGAGGCGGAGGTTGCGGTGAGCCGAGATCGCGCCATTGCACTCCAGCCTGGTTAACAAGAGTGAAACTCCGTCTCAAAAAAAAAAAAAAAAAAATTCTGAAAACTTCCACTAGCACTTTTTGATAAAAAATTAAAATCTCACTGTGTTAACATAATGGAATACATGTGAGCCTGCGACATAGCTAACTGGAGAGCGATTACAGTTTTGAGGTGGCCACATCACCTGTCTTTATTTGTTCTGTAATAGCAGCATTTTAATTTGTGAAATGAAAAACACTAAAATTATGCTTACATATAATCATC